CCCTGGCTGGGCTCTCTGGGATTGGGAGGGATGAAGCAGGAGCTGCTCCCTGGCTGGGCTCTCTGGGATTGGGAGATCTTGGAGATCTGCCTTCTAACCCAAACTGTTCTGGGATCCCGTGGGATGGACAAAAAGCTTCTCGGGGTTGGGATTGGGACAAGATGATCTTGGAGATCCCCCTTCCAACCTAAATCATTCCAGGATCCCATGGGATGGACAAAACCTCCTCGGGGTTGGGATTGGGGCGAGATGATCTTGGAGATGCCCCTTCCAACCCAAACCCTTCCAGGATCCCGTGGGATGGACAAAAAGCTTCCTCCCAGCAGCCAAGCACCGGCTCAAGGGGGGGCAGCTCCCGATCCCAGCTCCTTCTCTTCCAGATTGGCCCCGGGGGCAAGTCCGACCTGCCCCCCATCGACGGCCCCACGGACATGGAGCGGGGCCCCATCCTGCCAGTGCCGCTGGGGATCCGCCCCGTGCTGAGCAGATACAGGGTGGAGGTAAAGGGAGAGGATCTGCCTGGGCTGGTCGGGATGGGAAGCGCTGGAGCATCCCTAAAAAAAGCAGGGAGCTGGGTTATCTCCCCCCAAAGAGGTCTTGGGGATTCTGCGCCCACCAGCCTCGGGCAGCGGGGATGGGATGTCCCTCATGTGGCTGCAGGTGTCTAAAGGGGGATTTCTGTCCAAAATGGGGTGTCCAGCAGGGCCAGGGCAGTGCCCTCCCTGTGCTGGCACTGCTGGGGCACCTCCAGTGCTGGGGCAGCTCTGGGCCCCTCACACAGGAGACACAGGGAGGGGCTGGAGCGTGTGCAGGGAAGGGAAGGGAGCTGGGAAGGGGCTGGAGCAGCAGGAATATCTGAGGGAGCTGGGGGGGCTCATCCCAGAGAAAAGAGGGATCAGGAGGGACCTTTTCCCACCCCACAACTCCCTGACAGGAGGGGGGAGCCGGGGGGGGGTCGGACTCTGCTCCCAGGGAACAAGGGGCAGGAGGAGAGGGAACGGCCTCCAGCTGTGCCAGGGGAGGCTCAGGTTGGACAGGAGGAGGAATTTCCTCATGGAAAGGGTGGTGAGGCCTTGGAAGGGGCTGCCCAGGGAGGTTTGGAGTGCCCAGCCCTGGAGGGGTCCCAGGAAGGCCTGGCCGTGGCACTCAGTGACAAGGTGGGGATGGGGCACAGGGGGGATCCATGGCCTGGGAGGGCTTTTCCATCCCAAACGGGGAATCAGGAGGTGGAAAAATCCCCACTTAGGGGAATTTTCGCTCCCGGTGGCAGCCCCGTTGCCCCAGGCAGGGAGCAACAGCAGGTTTGCCCTGTGGCACCGATCCCACCGTGATGAGGTGATGCCGGTGCCGAGCCGGGAGCCCCATTCGGGGTGGAAAAAGCTGCTCTTCCCTTTTCCCTAGGAAAAAAAAGGAAGAACTCAGGAAAAGAGTGTTGAGGGCAGCCCGTGGGAGATGGTGAAGGTCAAGCGTGGGGTGGGTTTTGTGGGGGGTCAGAGGGGCTCTGAGGAGGGGGGGAAGCCCCTCAGGGATCCAGCACGGCAGGAGTTCCAGAACACACACAGACCATCTATATGATTGATCAGTGATGTTCGATTTATTACTTAAATGAGTTAACTTTTATGCAGTTTAGCTTGTTCTGGGTACATGCTCACAACAAGGTGATGCCTAAAATGTTGATGCTAAAAAATAATTCGGGAGCAGTTAATTGAGGGTGAGATAAGGAAAGGGTTTAATTGTGCCAAGGCAAGAGATGTTACAAGACTGGTGCCTGAGATGTGACATTTTATAATAATATCTGTCCAATCCCAAGTGTTTCCACCCCATAGCCTTTGCTCTGGTCCACCCCCTGAGAATTGGGTCTAGGGGCCTTTGGGACCACTTACTTCATCATTCTCATCATCTTCAGGGCACAAAGGGTACACAGTCACGCAGTTCTTGGCTCTGTTCTGTTGTTCAGGCCTGGATATGGGTGTTCTTTAAGCAGAACAGGCCTTGCCTTGACAAGAGACTAAATATTCCTACTGAATTCAGGGGTAGGATTGATATGGGGTGCATGGCATGGGGTAAGAGGGTTAAGGAATGTGTAAACTAAAGGGTGCTACAGGGTAGAGGGACAAGGGCTGCTGCTTTTAATATCTACCTCTACTACTTATAAAACTTATAAGGCTTACAAAAATTAGAAAAATAAAAAACTAATAGGGGCTTAAGGCATCATTTGCTTAGGGCTTTTGCTTTCTAAATTAACTCTCTGATTTTCCCATTGCCATATTACATTTGCTCTCTGGGCCTTGCCTGGCTTCACCAGGGGGACACTCCCTGTCCCCACTCACGTCCTCCTTCGTCCTGCTCCCCTTCCTCCCCCAGGTGCTGTTCTGGGGTCTGCGGGACCTGAAGAGGGTGAACCTGGCTCAGGTGGACCGGCCGCGCGTGGACATCGAGTGCGCGGGGCGCGGGGTCCAGTCCGCCCTCATCCCCAACTACCGCAAGAACCCCAACTTCGGCACCCTCGTCAAGTGGTTCGAGGTGGTGAGTGCGGGTTGATGGAGCCCTTTGGGGCCAGTGGGATCCCTGCCCCAAGGGATCTGAGCCGGGCGCTGCTGGAGCAGCTCCAGAGCCGTTCCGGAACATCCCTGGGCTGGAAACTGCTGGTTCCGGTCCCCTTCACAGTCACCATCACAGACATCCCAAAGCCCATCCCCATCCCAAAAACCATCACAGATATCCCAAAGCCCATCCCCATCCCAAAAACCATCACAGATATCCCAAAGCCCATCCCCATCCCAAACACCATCACAACCACCCCAAATCCCACTCCCCATCCCAAACACCACCTCAAACATCCCAAACCTCACTCCCCTTCCCAGCCACCATCCCAACCATCCCAAATCCCACTGCACATCCCAACCACCATCACAGACATCCCAAATCTCACTCCCATTCCCAACCATCACAGATATCCCAAATCCCACTCCCCATCCCAAACACCATCCCAAACATCCCAAACCTCACTCCCCATCCCAACCACCATCCCAAACACCCCAAATCCCTTAGGACCTGCCGGAGAACGAGCTGCTGCACCTGCCCCTGAACATCCGGGTGGTGGATTCACAGACATCCCAAATCCCACTCCCCATCCCAACCACCATCCCAAACATCCCAAATCCCATTCCCTATCCCAACCACCATCACAGACATCCCAAATCCCATTCCCCACTCCAACCACCGTCCCAAACATCCCAAATCCCACTCCATTTCCCAACCTCCATCCCAGACATCCCAAATCCCATTCCCCATCCCAACCACCATCCCTGACATCCCGCATCCCGCTCCACTTCCCAACCACCATCACAGACATCCCAAATCCCACTCCCCTTCCCAGCCACCATCCCAAACATCCCAACCACCCCCTCAAAGACCCCAAATCCCTCAGGACCTGCCGGAGAACGAGCTGCTGCACCCTCCCCTGAACATCCGGGTGGTGGATTGTCGCGCCTTCGGCCGCTACACCCTGGTTGGGTCCCACACCGTCACCTCCCTGCGCAGGTTCAGCCACCGCCCACACAACGGGAACAAGGGACAGTGGGACACCGCAGGTAAAACACCGGGAAAAAACAGGGAAAAAACACGGGAAATGAAAAGGGGATTTGGAATTTTTAAATGGAATAAATTGGAAAAAAAATAAATCCCTGTAAATGAAATTTTTATAATTAAGCGGTTGATTTCCCCCCTTGATTCGAAGGTTTTAAGTGTCATAAATTTTAAAATAAATCCTCCTAAATTAAATTTTAATTAATAACTGATTTCCCCGTAATTTTGAAAGTTTTAAATATCATACATGTAAAAATCGATCCCCTAAATTAAAATTTTGATTTAATTAATTGATTTCATAATTTTAAAAATCTATCCCCTTAAATGAAATTTTTTTAATAGAGTTTAGTGGTTGGTTTCCTCCTTTGATTTGAAGGTTTTAAGTGTCATGAATTTGAAAAATTGATCCCCTAAGTTAAAATTTTAATTAATTTATTAATTTCCCCTTAATTTTGAAATTTTTAAATATCGTACGTTTAAAAATCATTCCCCTTGATGGTGGTTTTATTTTTATTTTTATTTAATAATTTTTATTCAATAAATTTATTTCATAAAAAAAATCCCCTCCAATGAAATTTTTTTAATTGAATTAAATGGTTGATTTCCCCTTTGATTTGAAGGGTTTAAGTGTCGTGAATTTAAAAAATCGATCCCCTAAATTAAAATTTTGATTTAATTAATTAATTTCCCCTTTATTTTAATATTTTAAATATAATAAATTTAAAAATCAATCCCCTTAAATTGAAACTTTAATTAATTAATAATTAACTTCCCCTTCATTGTAATGTTTTAAGTATTGCAAGTTTAAAAATCTATCCCCATAAGTGAAAATTTTAACTTAATAATTGATTAATTTTACCTTAATTTGAATTGTCTTAATTTAATAAATTTGACAATGAATCCCCTTAATTAAAAATTTAGGAGAGGGATGGGGAAAAATTTCACCCCCTTGATTTGAAATTTTTAAACGGAATAAATAAAAAAAATAAAATCCCCTCCAATGAATTTTTTTTTATTGAATTAAGCAGTTAGTTTCTCCTTTGATTTGAAAGTTTTAAGTGTTGTAAATTTAAAAAATCAATCCCCTAAATTAAAATTTTGATTTTATTATCTATTTTCATAAATTTAAAAATTAATCCCCTTAAATGAATTTTTTTTTAATTGAATTAAGCAGTTCATTTTCCCTTTGATTTGAAGATTTTAAATATCATAGATTTTAAAATAAATCCTCCTAAATTAAATTTTATTTAATTGATTAATTAATTTTAATTAATTGATTAATTTCCCCTTTATTTTAATATTTTAAATAGCATAAATTTAAAAATCAATCCCCTAAGTGAAAATTTTAAATTAATAATTAATTAATTTCCCCTTTATTTTAGTGTTTTAAGTATCATAAATTTAAAAATCAATCCCCTTAAATTGAAATTTAATTAATTAATTAATTAATTTCCCCTTTATTTTAATATTTTAAATAGCATAAATTTAAAAATCAATCCCCTTAAATTGAAACTTAAATTAATTAATTAATTAGTTTCCCCTTTATTTTAATATTTTAAATAGCATAAATTTAAAAATCAATCCCCTTAAATTGAAACTTAAATTAATTAATTAATTAGTTTCCCCTTTATTTTAATGTTTTAAGTATCTCCGTGCCCTGTCCCCATCCCTGTCCCCATCCCTGTCCCTGTCCCTGTTCCCGTCCCTGTCCCTGTCCCTGTCCCTGCTCCCTCTCTGTGCCCTGTCCCTGTCCCCATCCCTGTCTCTGTCCCTGTTCCTTCTCCACACCCTGTCCCTGTCCCTGTCCCCATCCCTGTCCATGTCCCTGCTCCCTCTCCTCCACCCTGTCCCTGTCCCTGTTCCCTCTCCTCTGCTGTGTCCCTGTCCCTGTTCCCATCCCTGTCCCTGCTCTCTCTCCATGCCCTGTCCCTGTTCCCATCCCTGTCCCTGCTCTCTCTCCATACCCTGTCCCTGTCCCTGCTCCCTCTCCTCACCCTGTCCATCCCAATCCCTGGGTTGGATCCCAGGGGATCCCGGCCCTGACGGGCGGGACGCGCCGCTCTATCCCCGCAGGGGAGGTCGTGGTCAGTGTGGAGCCCGAGGTTCCCATCAGGAAGATGGAGACGGTGGTGAAGCTGGAAGCTGTGAGTGTCCCACCCCCCATGGAATTCCCACTCTCCGAGGGATCCCACACTGTGTGGATTGGGCACCAAGGTGTCCCAGAGGGATCAGGGTCTGTCACACCCTGGAAGTGCCTGGGCCCGTTTTCTGGCCAGAACAGGAGTTTCAGCTCCTGCTCACACCCTTGTGCTCCATGAAAACAGAGATTCCTGGAGCTGCTCCAAGGGCTGGAGCCCCTCTGCTCTGGAGCCAGGCTGGGAGAACTGGGAATGTCCAGGCTGGAGAAGAGAAGGATCCAAGGAGACCCTGGAGCCCCTTACAGGGCCTAAAGGGGCTCCAGGAGAGCTGGAGAGGGACTGGGGACAAGGGCTGGAGGGACAGGACACAGGGAATGGCTTCCCACTACCAGAGGGCAGGGAGAGGAATTCTTCCCTGGGAGGGTGGGGAGGGGCTGGGCTGGAATTCCCAGAGAAGCTGTGGCTGCCCCTGGATCCCTGGAAGTGTCCAAGGCCCAGTTGGAGCAACCTGGGATAGCGGGAGGTGTCCCTGCCTGTGGCAGGGGGGTTGGAATTAAATGATGTTTAAGGTCCCTTCCCGCCCAAACCGATCCGGGATTCCACGACCTGTGCCCAGCTGAGGGTTTGTTTCTGACCTGCTCTCCCTCTCCCTGCTCCCTTCCGCCCTGGATGGCAGAATTCCGACGCGGTGGTGAAGGTGGACGTGGTAAGTGCTGGACCTTCCCTGCGTCCCCTCTCCCAACCCTCTGCTCCCTCTCCAGCCCTTCTGCCCCGCTTCCAATGGACCATCCCCTGCACCCCCAGGACGGGCAGGGACACAGCAGTGTTGTCTCCTCGTGGGTGTGGATATATTTACATATATCACAGTTATACACAGTTAAAATACATATAAAAAAGAACCCCAAATAACCCCCCGAAAAGGGGAAGGGAAGAGGGACAGAAATGCAAAAAAAACCCCAACCCTGAAGCGGGTGTGCACAATCAATAAAAACTAGCAAAAGAAAATCTTACTACTCTCCTTGAGAGAGCAGAATCGCACCAAACAACTGCCGGCACCCTCCGCCTTCCGAGGCCTACAAGGCCTCGCTAGGCCTCGCTAGGCCTCACTAGGCCTCGCTAGGCCTCGCTCCCTCACATGAGCACGACCGACAGCAGAAAACCTGTGCCTTCAGATCCACTGGAAGAGAAGAGGGCAGAGGCTTCTCTCTCCTTC